CACCACTCCAAATGCAGTTTCTAAAACTCTCCTGAATTGTGGTCTCTTGCAACAATTCCTAACTTTACAAAATCATTTATCTCATGTGGATCCACGAAAAACACCGCGTTCTTTAACGACTAGAACCTCCAATCAACTTCCTTCGATCTTCAGCAACTCTAACAAATGTGATGGAAAGAACAGTTTGGTATTTGGATTACGAAATCTATGTTTTTCTCACCAAAACAAACTCACACGATGAAGGTTGAAAGTAGGAATATGATGATATTCTCTCTGATGAAGTTCTCTCAATGATCAACCTTTATTCCTCACGTTCAGATGCGTTTTGGTATTTATAGGTAAGTTAGAAAAGTAATGGACCAGGGAAAAAGCCTTTAAATTGCGAAATAAAAATTTTCCGGACATCACTATCGCTCGAGTGAGAGCTCAACGACAGTCGAGCAAGAGGCTATCGCTCGAGCCAATCCATGGCGAAAGTCAAGCGAAAATCCCGACCGTATTTTCCTTCTTTTGTCGTACTCGAACCCTAAACCTAATAAACCTATTTTCATATAATTGCACATTACTCCTTGACTTTTACATCATTTACAATTAAGTCCTTTTTGTTTATAGAATCGCTAATAACATAATTAAAACCTAACAAACTTAACTGTTAGTCTGCGGATGGTAGGGGTTTAGAACTACTTCTAAATTCTATAGTCATCATAGAGCTTTCACAGCCTTTAGTTGTAAACTATCTCCCATTATCCAAGACCAAAGAATGTATGATCCCGAATCTGTATAGTATTTTCTTCTAATATGAATTTGGTTGTATTGGCCATGGTGAACAGAGTAATTGGTTCGGTTTCAAACCATTTAGTGAAGTAATCAATGGCCACTATCATAAACTAGCCTTCAGCTTAGGCCTTGAACAATAGACCCATAATATCTATGCCCCACTTGGAAAAAGGCCACGAACTGCTCATTGTGTCAGCTTTTGAGGGTGCAACCGATGTATATTGGAAACCTCTAGCATTTGTCGCACTGTCTGATATAATTCAAGGAATCATTTTTAAGGTCGGTCAGTAGTATCCTAGCCTAAAGATTCTTTGTACCATTGACAACCCGCCTTCAGGGTTTCCACAGATGCCCTCATGACCCTCTTTGAGTAGGTGTACAACCTCATTTTCCCTAACACAACGTAGCAAGGGATGGAGAAAGTTCTTTTAAATAGGATCACATCCCTTGCCGCGAATCAAGGTACCTGAAGCTTTAGCTTCTTGGCTTCAGCTGGGTCGGATGGGAGTCTCTAGTCTACCAAATAATTCAAGAGATCTTTCATCCATTTGGGGTGCTGGATTATCACCATCACCTCCATTTTGGCCTTGATGGATGGCTTTTCAAGTATTCAGTTGGAGTCATCCTCAGCAGCGCAAAATCCTTATTATTGTCCAATTTTGACAGAGCGTCAAAGTTGGTATTCTCCTCTCGAGGGACTTGATGGCTATCTAACTTGTCAAAGCTTGACAAAAAGTCAATGACATGCTTCAGATAAGCATATGTGATATGACCATGTGTATGGATTAGGCCATAGCTTCAATCTCTGCCTTCTTATTTTCTTCCTCTCACTAATTACTAATGTTTCTAATTACAAATGATTATCATTAATCTTAGTGCTAAAGCATCATTATTCTCAACTTCCTTTCTTCTTTTTGTTGGATTAAGTCTAACGGGACTAACTGCATGATGGCTTTTTCCCATCAACACTACTCTTGCTCCATATTACAAATTGAGCACATAGTAAATAGTTTGCACAAATAAAACGTAAGTAGAACTCCTCATCATTGTGTATAAATCATGATTAACTCCAATTTTCAAAATTTTCTTGAGGGTTGTGCTTATGTGGCGTCAAACAATTCATTGTGCACGTGTGAGATTATTGCACTGAAGTTTAGGTTGACTATGTCAGATTTTGTATGAACATTACTGTCCTTATTCGAGGCTCAGTCCTGCGTATTTGGTTGTTAAATGGTGCTTTGACAATTGAGGCATCTTTTGCTTCAGCTAAGCCTCAAGGGTTGAGGTGCAAATAATAAGAGACATACGAGCACGCAATATGACTCTTTTGTGGTTGATGTGAAACCCCATGGACAATTATTTCAGCACGTAACACGTAACGTTAAAGAAAAGATTACCATTTGTATAATTAAAAACACAATAATGTTGAGTTGTCTAATTCATGTAACTGAGAGTGCTTTTAGACAATTAGCCGCTCAGCACAAAATATGCTTAAAATTAAATATTTCCATATTCCTTTTCAATGATTAAAGAGTAGTCGTCATTTGAATGTTAATTTTAGTTTATTGTTCCTTTTTCTAGCATTTTGCATTTACTATGGTTGTTCATTGTCCACTAAGCTTAAAAGGTAAGTTAAAATTACTTAAAAGAAATTTTGCCTCATAAGAAAGTATGAGATACATTTTATTTAATAAGTAACTTGCTTATTAAGTTAAACGCTAAAAGAAATGAATTTAAAATTTACTTATTTACTTATAAAAGTATTTTTAAGCTTAGCCTTACAGGCACAACATGAGTTGGGAATCTTGAAAATAAGTACTTTTCAGCATGCCAGAAAAAGACTTGCTTGTCATGTTTTCCATGGATGGAATGTATTAGATACTTTATGTTTGAATAATGATATTTACAGTTGTTCACTATAACAGTCACCATATGTGACACATATCAAGTGTGTATTTAATGTGTTAATGTGATAAAAGAACTACTACATTAATACATCAAATAACTACATATCATGTGTGTGTTACATAAGGCGACTTCTGTAATGAGGAAAATAAATTGCATTACTCTCAAGAAATTAAATTTCGCTATAGTAAATAAATGAGTCGCCAGTTAGGAATATAGCAGTTTAATCCTATTGAAAAATCATAAAAAAATTAGCATCTCATGTATACACGCAAGTAACAATTATTAAGAGTAACGTGTTAAAGTAGGCAAAATGAGAATGATTATTCAATGATCAATAAATCGAGAAAAGACATATCGTCCTATGACTTATATAAGAAGCATGCTACATGACCAGATTCAATGACAATAAAGTATTTTCAGACTACACTTGGCAGTTTTTCATTGGAGAATGAAAAAAAAAATCATGAAAACACTCGATCATGGGCTGCCACATCAGTCTTTTTTTCCTCCCAGTTTGTTCAGCATTATACCTTAGATAAGAGGCATAAAATGGCCAATCAAGGATCTGAAGTTCGTACCAACCTAGTGTTATAAATGTAATTAGTATAGTTGGAAACGTAACTTTTTCTTATATTTTTTCTAATGTACGCCTATATTATTAAATAATGATTTAAATAGAAGTAATTCAATTTCTTGATAGTAAAAAACATTAAATATGTATATATTAGAAAATTAAAAAATCAACTATAGTCTCAATAAGGAAAATTACATATGATTCGGAACATGCGAAAAAAGAAAGCAAAAATATCTTTATGGAATGGATGGAGTAATTAAATTGAAATAGTTGACTGAGTTGTAAATGTTGTGAAACTTATGTGGGAGGTTGGTGATTCGAATCACATTCTATATTTTTTTATGTGAATATTTAAAAGTCTATGATTGGACATTCTTTGAAAATACATTGAAATCATTTTCAACTTCTATAATTTCTAAAAATATGATTCTAGTATTATTTTATTATTCAGATATTACTATGGAGTAATACTTAACGTTCTGAAAATCATTTAGAGGATGCTTGGTGTGGATTAAAATTAGATTTTTAACAGATTGTGTTAAAAGTTTTTAAAATGTGTAGTTGAAAAGTTGTGAAACCCATGAAAGATGTGATTAATATTGATTATTTAACTTTGATTTGGATTAAAATTAGATTTTAATTCAGGCCAAACAAGGGCTTGTTATTGTTGAACGAGTGATTTGATTGTTATATTCTGAAAGCGATTACTAAAGTGATCGCAGCAATTAAGCGCCGTCATGAATCTAAAGCATTCGAAAAGTTTTCTACATTTTATTGTTCTACAATAATATCTGCAACTAATTTTCTGACATCTAAGACATTGACACATATGATAGCCTAACTAGAAGCTTTCTAAATCAAATTTGAACCCAAAAATGAACAAAACAATAAAGCCACTTAAGAGTGTAACTTTTAAAATAAAAATATTTGAAATAAAAGCATATTTTTACACATTAACTATCCATTATTTTTAACATCTAGGTCATCATATTAGTGGACAATAAACGACAAAATGTACAGGAAAATGAAAGTTAGGTGACCTGATTGCATTAAATTGAAAATACGTGACCTAGATGTAATTCCACTCAAAGTTGGGTTACCCTTTAACCCTTTTTTATAATCTCTCTCTCAAAATATGCTTAAAAATTCTTCATATTCCATAGCAATGATTCAAGATATAGTCATCATTTGAATGTCACGTTTACTTTATCCAACATCTTGCACTTTCTGCTTGATAAGTTAAGAAATCTTGAAAATTACTTTTTCAGCATGTCGTGACACTGCTTTCTTAGCACGATTTAGATCATTACATGTATTGGGTATTGCCATACGATGCCAAAACTACGACTCAAACAATACCTATTCGGTTAAAGGATAAAATCCAAATCCAATAAAAATGAAATTTTGGATTACTTCACTTAATAAAGTTGACATTTTAAGGTGGAATCACAAATTTTAATATAACTTCAGAGTTCATTAAGTTCAAACGAATAATTTGAAAAATAAGCACACAGATTTCAAGATTAGTTTGTTCAAACGAGAACCATCTTGTAGGGACATGTTAAGGGATAAAATTCACATCGAATAAAGATGGAAATATAAACTCATTTATAAGATTTAAATTACTTCTCTTAATAAAGTTGTCACTTAACATGGACCCCAACACTTAATACATTCACTATATATCACTTCATTGATTCTTTGCACAAAAGAAGGTCCAGAATTTAAAGTAAAATTTGAGATGGAATTCTCAACAATTTTATTTTTTGGGATATTGGTCTCATCTGTGTGCACAGTGAAAGGTGCTGAGAAGATGACAGATTTACCACCCTGCAACTACCCTGCAATATATAACTTCGGTGATTCGAATTCAGACACAGGCGGGATAGCAGCAGCATTTTATCCGATGGCAGCACCCTGCGGTGAGACGTACTTCCATCGGCCAGCCGGAAGGGGTTCCGATGGGCGCCTGATCATTGACTTCATCGGTAAGAGATATATACTTCACGATCCATTTCCCAGAAAACCTTTCTGTACCTAACTTCGAACAGCAACACAATTTATTTAATAATTCCAGTACTATCTAATTTTCCATACTAAAAACGTCATTCAAGTAGTATCATTCTCTTATGGATTTGTTGGTAGATGTAAATCCATCGTGAGGGTGTTTGTGACGTGCAATTTTTCTGTTTCGTGTAGCCGATTATTTGGGGCTGCCATATTTGAGCTCCTACTTGGATTCAATAGGAACTAGTTATCAGCATGGGGCAAATTTTGCAACTGGAGGAGCAACCATTTTGAGGCCGAATAAATCATGGTTTGAAAATGGCGAGAGCCCTTTCCCTCTAGAAATCCAAGTCGAGCATTTTTCTCAGTTTAAAGAAAGAACAGCTTATTTCTACAATCAAGGTCATCTCACAACCCACTCACCCACCCACCCCCCTTCTTCCCTTATTGTAATTAATATGAGGTAAGGCTAGGATGCCCCTCCATTTTTCTATCATCTTCAATATATATACGACATAGAATCAGAACCATGTGCTACGAGTACAGATAACGTTCTCAGAGTTTTTCACAGAAAAACACGACAATGTTTCATTGGTTTTTGTCAAAACAAACAAAAAAATTACACCATATAGGTGCCGTGCTGCCAACTAGCACCTGTATAGTGCCTGTGAATTGTTCGTAGAATCAATGCCTAACCCAACTCATCTCTTAAGGGTGAGACCTAAAAACCCTCTATTTTCTTAGTACTGGAACTTTTGTTTAAATGAAAAATGAAAAATTATGCTAGACAGCTGTCGACACACAAACACACAAGTTTTGTCAAGTCTCATGGAGTAGAACTTCAAAAAACGATCTTACTTGACATGCTTTTGTGTTTGTGAATTCAGACAAGGGTGATTATGGTAGTAGCAGACTCCCACGACCTGAGGACTTCTCCAAGGCTCTTTTCACACTTGATATAGGGCAAAATGACATTGCTGCTGCTAGGAGTAAGAGTATTGAATTTCAGCAAGTCACTGTACCCAACATAATCAGCCAGTTTACAGCACAAATCCGTGTAAGCTCTCGTGTATTCACTTCCATTTATTTTTTGGGTTCATGAGGATATCGGGTATCCTACACATATTACGTTAATGTTCCTACATATTGAAAGGAAGAAGATATATTTGGGGCAGTTTAGTGTGTGAAAAAGAGTGGTATGAAAAACAATGTATCCTCCTTTCTCCATTACACAAAAAGTCTACTATCAAGCGGAAGTAGCTGTGTTTTGCACAATTTCTAATGGCTTTCTAATTATTACTTGAAAGTATGGATTGAGGCTTAATCCATAACAGACTGGTAACGGTACTATAAAATTTCGATGATATGTATGACAGGATCTATACATTAAAGGAGCAAGGACATTTTGGATACACAACACAGGTCCTATAGGATGTTTGCCGGTAAACACGATTAAAGTACAAGATCCTCTGCCCGGGTATCTTGACAAGCATGGTTGTATCGAAAGCCAGAATGATATGGCTCGGCATTTCAATAAATACCTCAAGGTCGAAATTGTGAAGCTAAGGGCAGAGCTTTCTGCAGCTGCGATAATATACGTGGACATGTACAGTGCTAAGTATGAACTAATAAGCAATGCCAAAAATGAAGGTAATTATTTTCAGCATGCAACTAAAGTATAAAGTTTTCTCCTTTTTGAATTGTGAGCACCTTCTATTCAGATCACAAACTCGTTTTAAAAATGAGTTTCTGTATACGGGCCCCTCGTACAGTCGACACAATTTCGATGGCTACTTCCAATATAAGATAAGTTTTGTAGAAAAGGAAATTAGCCGTGTTTGACTCCCTTCAAAACAAAACAATTTGTTTCACATACTCATTTTTAATAATAAATTCACGCAATAAAACATTTTGCACGTACATTCAAAATTTTTCTCACTTTTTAATCATACATTTTTCAAAATATCATTTTTATACAATAATAATCATCAAATGGGGGCTAAACGTGGCCTTAGTTTTTAACTTGCCATTTCAAAAATCAAATTTTAACTATACATGTTTTCCAAAGACATAATTACACTTCACCACCACCGTGCCTTCGCCACTATTCCCACCACCGCCACCCACCACCTCCCAGTCGATGGCGTGTTCAAAACAAACCAATCCCATCACCACTACCCACCCACACATCCCCATCCCTGTCACCATAATATGCGAAGAAACCATGTCCATTCGACGTGGCGGAGGCAAAGAAAATCAGAAGCTGAAAAAAGAAGGTGAGTGCACGTCATAAAAAGTTGTTGTGGCAAACATGCTCCAATTTGACCCGATTTCGATCCGATTGTGAACTGTTCGAGAAGGCTACTCGCAACCACTTCTTCTCTTATCTTTTCGCCTGTTTATTCTAGGATTCTCTTTATTGGATTTTGAGTTTTGTTTGAAGGTGGTGGCGGCAACGCTGACAGTGGTTTGATTGTGGAGGTGGTGGGTGGTAGTAAAGTGGGAGACGGCAATTTGGGTCTTCTCACATGTTTGACCGTGGAGGTGAAGGTAGTGGTGATGAATTTTGAGGTGTGTTTGCAGGTGGTGACAATGACTGTGACAATAGTTTGATTGTGGATGAGGTGGTGGTGGTGAGGTGGCGACAACAGTTTGAGCCTTCTCGTGGTTTAACTAAGTAGGTTGTAGTGGATTTTGAGATATGTTTGAAAGTGGGGGTGATCATCATTGACAATAGTTTGACTGTGGTACTTGTAGTGATGGTAGTGAGGTGGCGATAGTGATTTGGGTGGTGTCCACAATGGTGGAATGAGGTGATGGAAGTGGGTTAGGTAGTGATGGGGTTAGTTGAAGAGTTGTGACAGGGAAGGATGTGGTGGGGTTAGAGGTGGTGACATCAATGTTTAAGTGGTGCTAGTGGGGTGGGTGGCTACCAATTATTTGAGTAATTGTGACCATAAAATGATTAATTTATGACCAATAAATAATGTGACATAAAAAAATGTTTAATTTGCAATTAAATTTGTAATTATAACCTACAATTTGTGTCTTTGACTATGACCTAGTGAAATTTGTGAGTAATACATTATTGTAATCATAAATTGTTATTATAATTAATAAATCATAAAATTGTTATCACAAATGTGACCGCTTGATATTTTGAAACATTTTCACAAGTTTATTACTTTTGAAAGTGGATGTTGAAACCTTTGTAGACTGTAGTCATGTATTTTTCCCTTTGTAGAATCAATCTATTGATAATGGACCATCGTAGACCCCAGTAATCAATGGTTAGACTGTAACAACTACTTTTAAGTTCTAAATTGCTCATGGAAGCGCCCAACTTCAAGAGTAAACTAAACATGCTTCTCTCACAAGTCAATTTTTCGATCTCTTGGCTATCACACGGTTATACTTTCATATACCAAAGTTCGCCAACCTTCTGTGAAATCTCAGCATGTGGAATCTTTATACAGTCTTTATTTAAGCAATCATTTATTTGGATCTTCCTGCAGCTCTCGGGAATTCCATCTACATCTACAAAATTTGTGGGCATATCATCATTTAACTACTGCGTCTATTTTTCTTGTTTCCAGTCGCTAGATGCACATATTCCTGCAGGCACAAGCACCAATCAGGGTCATTTCGCGTCAGATACTTCTGATAATATGATAATACATCATATTTAATTTTAACGAGGTTTCTCTTTTTACAGGATTTGAGGACCCTTCGAAAATCTGCTGTGGTTATCATGGATTTGAGTATGATATTTTCTGCGGGTCTAAAGGACACATAAATGGGAGTGAAGTTTTTGCTGGTTCTTGTGCAAACCCTTCTACTGTCATTAGCTGGGATGGAGTTCACTATACTGAAGCTGCAAATCATTGGATTTTTAAACGCATAATCAACGGTTCACTATCCGATCCGTCAATCACTGTCACGCAAGCATGTCATATGAAAATGGGATACCTTTGAATAGGTTTATTCTCACATAATTAGAAACTCAAAGATACGAAGACTAAACAAGAAGGTTTAAAGACGAAGATTTAGCATGTGCCATCTAAGATATTAAAATACTATTAAGCATTATTAAAAGTTAAAATCACCTCCATCCATTAGAGGAGAAAGTATAAACATGTGAGAGATCCCACTAAAATAGTGTGTTATAAGAAGTTCAATTTAAGTTCATTTTTTCCTAGACTACTGTATTATGTTCTTTAGTTAGCTCATCTAAGTTGACAAGTTGATAGCATTCCTCAACATAATCGTTTACCTTTTAACATTTTACTATCATGTCTATTCTTAAATACCCCGAGACATTCACATGTAACACTTGAGATCTTAACACGCAACAAGGATAAGCATTCATGGCTTTATTGCAATAGTTCGCTTCTCGAAGAAACTTGTACACAACTTAATTTATTCAATAGTGTGTATGTGGGTATAAGTCAAGACAAGGCAATAAACTTACACCACTAGACACTAGTTAAAGTCATAACACATTAAGTATTAGTGATCGTGATTTGAAATCAATACATTTGATACAGGTTGTGAGACTTTAAATATATACACAAGCTATAAATAACATAACTGATTAACTTCGTTGTCGGTGCCCTTCGGGGAAGAGCAACAACCCTGTGAAAGGGAACTAACCTTTGAGGCAAAGATCCATCTTCCTCAGGATCATCATCAAATTCCAAAACGTAGCTGCCAAGGTCAAATAATCATACATTTGAAAAAAAATTATGTTTGCAAACCTTAAATTGCATAACCAACAAATTTTAATGAAGAAACTAAAATTCAACTACTTGAGATTTTTATTATACTCCCGTCTATTTCATGATTTATGAAGTTAGCATATAAAATACCGTTAAAATAGAGGTAACGATACTTACTCATCAGTCTTCCTATAAAAATCCGTAGTATAGCACATCATGTTGCATGCATAAACAAACGACAATTAGATTTGTTTCAATTTCTTAAGTTACAACACAAGAAAAGTGTGCATTGTTTTACCTTACGAGGTTGGACTAAAGTTGCTTTATAAAGTGCTGTGGTTCCTGGATAAACTGCCAAAACATGTCTTCCAGGAGGAAAATCTTGAATACTTGAGGGATCAGTCCGCTTAGGAAATGGTCTAATACGTGAAAGAGGCAGCTTGTACTTTCTGAAAGGAACAATATATGGAAAATACAAAAAATGATTTAATTGAAAACACTTGCTTCATCAATTAAGCATATAAAACCACAATGATACTTATAGCCGTCATACTAAGAAATCGATCATGAAATAAAATATCTGGCGATCCATCCACAGAGTCAACAAGTAATAATCTTACAACTCAAAACGAGTTCAGACCACACTCTATAGTCTATACAAGGAAGCAAACAAAAATGACCCCATCTTTGGCACTAGTAAACAATAAATTAGATGTCAAATTCAGAAGAAAATTTGACGAGTAATATATATCTTTTCTGTTTCCTTGGTTGTTTTAAATATTTTACAACTTTAGTATTGAAAGAATTAAAGTACTTAGCTTAGCTGTTATGATTTTTCTTCTAGAGGATGAACAAAAAATTCAAAAACCCACAAAGTTGGGACAACAAAATAACAACTGATAAACCAAACTCAACCAATTTGCATAATAGTGAAAGGAAGGAAGCAATTGGATGTGAAGTATTTTATGATTCCAAATTGTCATATAAAAAGTAAAAATGTTGCCTTCCACACTTTTTAGACTTCTGTAAATCGCGATAACTGAAAAGATGAAAAGAGAGAACCAAACAAAACTTTAACAGACTTGACAGCAAAGCACTGACCAAAGGCACTGCCGATAAAATATGTAAGCTGTTATAATAAGGCAGAGGAAAAGACTTGTCGACCAGTAAATTGATGGAAACTCTAAAATAAAATAAAAATGCCGAAAAAGAGGAGAGCAAATCGCTAACCTCTGCCCACCACTTTCCTCGTCATCACCTGTTCCTCATCTATATATGACTTCAAATCTACATAAAGATACATTCATAAGTTGCAAAATTAATACATAAAATGTATATAGAATTAATCTTCCTATTCTTTTCTTAGTCATTCTTATATACCAATATACCATAAACTCATTGATTTTTCACCCCAAGGATACAAAAGATTTATTTTCTTTTGTAGTTGCTTGTGAATAGGGTACTTTCTCGTTTCCTTGTTGACATGGATTACTTTAACTACGAACCATTCATCCTTTTTAGCATCCTCTGGAGTGACCCTTGCTGCTACCTGAATTGCACACACAAGTCAAATGAGAATGTCATCCCTATGCCCTTCATAAAGATATAATTACATTACATCCATAAGTGGCTTTTAAAAAAAAGAAAGAAAGAAAAATGGTTTAAAGAATTCATTGCAATTTAGATGAATGCATACTTGTTCACCCTTCATATTAGCAAGATAATCTAGCTGATTTCTCACAGAAGAAGTCGTGAGACATCTGAATCAGGTTTCATCCGTTTCTTTTTCTGCTCATTACCTTCTGCAGTTTGCATAAAACTAAATTTAAAAATTTTTAAGCAAATAATGAAGTTCCATGAAAGAAAATTCCACAACGGAAATGCACAGTACCCATTAGCTAAGATGTCAAACTCATCACATTTTTGGCTGACATCAGTTTCCGAACTCTATCATAACAGTAATGAAGAAGAAGAAGAAGAAGAAGAAGAAGAAATGAGTTCAAAACTGATCAAACTCCTGAAGTCAAAAAATTTAGACATTTATTTAAAAAATCTTTCACAAAAGAACAAATTGATTCTTATTGGGAAGAGTTTGATAAATTTCAAGAAGACATCAACTTTTATGAATGGACATATTTCAAAGTTTTCAAAAAAATTCCTAAAAAGAATAAAACCATTCAAAATACTTCTTCATTAAGGAAAACCTAGAAAACACCTTCAGGTGAAACTTTTCAATCTATTCATGCTCTCTTACAAGAAATCATAGTTCAACATGATACAACTCTTGTTTGCGCCTCTCCTTTCAAAAAAATTGAAAGATCGGATGACTCTCATGTTATTGCTAGAGATATCAAAAGGGTCATGTCTCAAAATAATTTTTCAAATATTGCCCTCCATTCTATTTGTACTCAACTCAACAGAATTGAAACAAATTCTGGGATTCTCTCTCTGTAATGATCTCAAACTTAAAGCCTAATAGAAAACAGAAAGATTTGAAGGTCACAAAGAACTTGGATCTTTCTGTGAACAATATGGATTCAAAAAAATCATCCCACCTTCAAAATCAAAAAATAAAAATGTTTTCTCATTCAAAGAAAAAATATTTTCAAAAACAATCTTTTAAAAAAAGAGATTCTCAAAATCTTCCTCCAAAAAACTCTAACGAAAGTTTTTTAAGAAAAGAAATTCAAATATTACATGCTGGAAATGTAATAAGTTTGGTCATTATTCAAAGAAATGTCCTCTTAAAAGCAAGATTAGTAATCTTCTATGTGATGAAGAAACTAAGCTTGCGCTACTCAATCTTGTTAATTCCAATTCCGATTCCTCAAATTCTGATATTGAACAAATCTATCATGATCAGGAAGAATCTGATTCTGATAAAAATTCAAAATCATCCTTGTCCTCCTCTCAAAGCAAAGTGTGGTTGTAAAACCAGAAATGCTCTCACAAAAGAAGAGGAACTTATTAAAGAAATTATTGATCAAATACCTGATCAAAATTTGAAAAATAAGTTTAATACTCTTTTACATTCTACTTCAATCTTCAAGATGTTTTGAAACGATTCCAAAATGAGAAATCTAAAGCATCTAGTTCTGATTTAAGATCAGAAGTTAATGTTATGAAATCTCAAATTGCCAATCTTGAAAAACAAATGAGAGATGTCAAAATGTAAGTTGTTCATCTTCAAGTCAACGATCTTGAGAAGAATTTTTATAAAGGATCTTCTTCATCTTCAGATAATGAAACTTCTCATGCTTATCACTCTAATTCTGATTCAAAATCTCATAAATCCTCCAAATCCTCTTTTCATCTCCTTACACAGGAAGAAAAAGTTAATGTTATTTCTAAAATTCAACTTCAAAAATGGTATTGTAATATGACTATTATAGTCAACGAAGAATTTAAACTACATAATAGAGTTTTAATTGATTCTGGCGCAGATCAAAATTATATTAGAGAAGGACTTATCCCTACTAAATATTTTGAAAAAACCTTTGAAAGACTTTATGATGCTAGTGGTAAAAAAATTTGATATTCAATACAAACTTTCAAAAGCTCATATTTGTAATTCAAATATTTGTTTTAAAAATATCTTTTATTTAGTAAAAGATCTTAACCAAGAAGTGATTCTTGGTACACCGTTTATCATTCACTTTTATCCTTTTACAGCAAATACAAAAGAGTTGTGAGTTAACCGTGTCGTGCTATTGTTGTTACTGTGTCAAAGATTATATTGGTGTGTAGCCATAGATGTTTGCTGAATAGCGGTTTGGTCAGCCCGTATTTGCCGGGGTGGGAGTTTAGGGTGGTCCTCGTTGTAGGCTCTGGTGAATCGTCGGTATAACCTGTAGTATTGTGTCTGCAGTGGTAAGAATACTGTTTTCTTTACATCATTTAATTATATCTTTCATGTCTAACTGTTTTAATGCTGGTGGAAGTTCAAAAGATGATAATAATATGTCAAACTATTTTCGAGATGATAAAGATGAAATTGATCAAAATACTTGTGCATCTTCATTTGCATCTGCATCAAATGATTTTAATTCAAAAGAAGTTTAAATTGCTCAAATTGAACAAAAACTTCAAAATTAGATTATTTCAAAGGTAGACAAGAGTTCTATCTATGAAATAGAAAATTTTGATTTTATTCAAAAAAAACTTCAAAATTGGACTATTTCAAAGGTAGACAAGAGTTCTATCTATGAAATAGAAAATTTTGATTTTATTCAAAATTATGTCATCAAAACATTAGAA